CAGCCAACAAAAAACGGGAGAAATTAGGTTCGGTTGAAAAATGGGGTATTCTACCAAACAAACCTTTTCACTGCACCCCCAAATTTATGCGAATCACCTTAAACCAGCCAACACTTCTTATACTTTACACGTTTCCAATCAAAATCAGATATGACCCAAAAAAGATCCCTCCTGTGCAACCCCCAATTTGACAAGGCTGCCAAAGGCAGGCAAATTCCCTCATTTCGCCATAAAAATAAGCTGGAATTTAGAATCAAACCCCCAAGAAAGAAAAAAAAGCTCAGGAGAACCCAACCCACCCTCAAAATTTCGATATCGCCGGGCCCCCCCCCCAGCCTTCTACACCTTCCGTAAACAGTTCTTCCAAGACAGCAGGTTCCCCTTTTCCCTCCAAGTTTAGCCCGGGATGAAACACCCCCAGAATTCTGGAGGATTCCGTTAGCTTTTTCCAGGCCAGGACCCCCTGTTGGTGTTTCTTGGAAAGGGGGGGGGGGGGGGGGGGGGGCGTACTCTCATGTTTTGCATGTCGTTGTGATTATTAGACCACTGACCACGGGCCCTCGGTAATCAAGGAATCCAGGGAGAAAACGACACGAAGCCAAACTGGTGCAGTGAAGGGGCTGCTTGTAGTGCGGACACCTGCAATGCATCATCGACAGGGGGGGGGCAATCAAGCAGAGCACACAAGAACATCAGTACAGTGAACTGGGAAACCCCCCCTGTTTAATGAGGTATCAAACGTCTTGATTATTCCGTCTGTGCCAGCCAGTTTCACCCACCCATGGTGGCCCCCCTCATTTCTGTATCGGCGAGGTGGGAGGGTGAAGGCCACAATACATGTTACTCGACCAATGGAGGGGGGTCCTCTTACATCGCAAGTGCGCGCACTTAACCCTGCCCTTCGTCAGGGCAAACGTTCTTCGAAAAGTAAGGAGAAGCATAAGCCTTGCTGCTGGGGGCGAAAAGCAAACCTTTCCTATTTACTTATTTCGTTATAGACAGGTGTACCCTCATTGGGGTAGCTAGCTTGTGACCACGGAAGGTGTCCGCGTCAGTTGGACCAGTATGGACATTAGAAGGTACTGAGCGGAGACCGGAACGGTTATTAATGTCAAGACAACAACAACAACAACAACAACAACAACAACAACAACAACAACCACAACCACAACAAAAACCTTTCGTGTCTATCCGACGACAGGGAAGCTTCGAGCTCCTTCGCCTTTCCATCCACCTCCTGCGGGGACCCTCCCTTCAAGAAAGGCACAGGGAGCAAGCGCAAACAGCAGCACGCATGCGGAGACGATCACAGACCCGGTCTCGGAACGGGGGGTACGAGAATAGGGGGGGCACAAGCAAGCAATAATCGTGACGCCTTCGCACTCGCGCGCCGCGCGTAGAGAGCTCGATTGGACTGAGCGGGGGGGGCATCCGTCTACATGTTGGAAGTCTTGCAACAGCAGCAGAGCTCACAGACAACGACGAACAGTGATAGCTCGACCAACTCGGGCGCACTACTTGTTCCGACAACCCTGTTTTCTTCGACCGATAGCATGTGGGTTGGCACCAATGCCCTCGGGTCCACTACACCCTAGGCACCCCCACTAGAGTGGATTCTCATTCCGCGAGGCCTCTGGCCAAACCTCTTGAAACGCCACCTTCACACAGCCTCTCCACTGCAGAGCATTCTCACCTTGAGCGCGACAAGAAGCGTCTGGTTGGCCAGCAGCCGCCGCTTCAGGGAGGCCTGTAGGCGCGCCGTTCTCGCTGCCCCGACCGACTCCTCCTCCGCCTTGCTCACCACCGTGCACCTGCATTCGAGCCATTTCGGTGTACAAGGGCAAGAGAGGGTTGAAGAGGCCGGGGGCAGGAGGAAGGGTCAGGGATACAGAACGCCCCACCATGTACGAACTTATGTAGAGGTTAAGAACTTGAGCCAAGAAAAATCCAAAATCCAAGATCTTGGCCATAAGAACAGGTGCCCAAACCTACACAAAAACCTGCGTAGTCACACAATAACCAATATAGTCACACAAAAACTAATGTAGTCACACAAAACCTAATATAGTCACACAAAAACTTATGTACGTATAATCACACTAAAACTAATACAGTCACACATACACCTATGTACGTATAGTCACACTACAACCTATATAGTCACACAAAAACCAATATAGTCACACTAAAACCTATATAGTTACACTGAAACCCATCTAATTGTCGCCATGGGGGTTGTACCCCATACAGAAAACAAGACCTTCCAAAGTGGCGGGGCGTTCGGTAGAGTTGTTCCGCCTCGCCCTCGCCGACGCATTTCAGACGCCCAAATCAATACCGTAAGAGGCGGAGAGATCGCGCCGACTTTCAAAGCTCGATTTCTCCACAACCAAGGGGCTCCTCTCATTTGTTGTGGGCGTCAGCTCATCGGTGCAAATCGACAGGTGCTGCGAGGGATCGCATCCCGTTACCCCCCCTTGGTTGCGTAGCAATCGGGGGGTGAAGGGATGCGATCCCTCGCCGCACCTGTCGACTTCCACCGATGAGCTGACGCCCACAACAAATGAGAAGAGCCACGAACAAACACAGCTGTTGCGTGAACGGAAGGCGAGCCCTCATCGCACCTGTCGATCTGCACGGAGTAGTCCATGTTCTCCTTGAGGCCGGTCAACCAATCGTCTCCTGGGAATGTAGCACCACCCCCGCGCTCCGGTCTCTCCTCCTCTTGAAGGCACCTTCCCAAGTGGGAAAAGAAAGTACTCGTGTTTTGGGTTGTTTGGGTTCGAAGACATGATAGGGTTAATCGTGGTGTGGGTTTGTGGTTTGGGTTCTAAGATATAGCAAGAAAAAATAAAGATTTCGGTTCCTGTTTGGGATCCAAGATATCTTGGAGTTGATTCAAATCCGACGTTGTGTTGAGGTCCGAATACACCTTACGATGAATCAAGACGTGATTTGCTGTTACGGGTCCAAGACATCTCAGGGTTAGTAAAGAACCCATTCGCAATCAGGGTCCGATACCTTACGGAAAATCAAGCTTTGGGTTGTCGTTAAGATTTCACTCGGATTAAAAGGACGAAGGAAGGGTGAGCCATGCAAGTAGTGCCGGAGCGACACGGTATAACTGAGATTTGTGTTTACGGCATGCACACGGCGATCTTGTTGGATAGCGATAGGCGTAAATTCGACTGGCCAAATCTCGTCATTTTGCTGCATAACTCGTTGATGTAAGCAAAGCAGATAAACATGCTGCCATTCGTCGAGAAAAGCAAGACAGAGTAAATATCGCCTTGCCTCCATGTTTTCCGTCGATGTACGCAAGACAGCATGGAACACATCTTATTCCCGTGTTAATCGCCCACTCAAGCAGGGCACAATGAAATATCGTCTTATTGCCAGGCTATTCGTCGCCGCAAGCCAAGACATGCAAACTAATTGCTATTCATCATTGCAGTTGGCTGTTCGTCGGCGTAATCCTACAGTAGCACAAATACCTACCTCGCTGCGGAGGTATAGGTCTGGTGGTCGAGCATGATGTCCATGGTGACCTTCTGCGCCTTTGCCAAGGCCAGCTGCAAGCTTACGTCCAGCTTCTCCCTCTGGACGAAAAACAAAAGAGTTTGAAACGACAAATCATCAACACCCGACGGCATGTGTGTTTTTATTTTCTTGTCTTTGCTACATAGTGGCGTTGTTAGGGTTGTTGAAGGGTCAGAGTGCGTCATCGCTTTTGCTCGAACGATGCACTTCCGTATTTTCAGTCAGAGTGTGTTGTGCATCTTCAACTTGCATGCTTAAATGAAGTACAAGTAGCTCATCGTTGGCCCCTTTAAAAAGTCGACGCTAAGTACAGCAGCAACATTCTCAAGTAAGTGATTTTCGTGAGCTAAGCTCTAAATAGCAGGGTCAGAGTAAAGCCTCGATACCAAGACGACTTCATATGGATATCTCTCAGTGGAGACAAGAGGTTCAGAAGGGGACGCACGTAAACCACTGCGAACAACAAGAAAAAAATGATGGTAAAATGCCTGCATGAGTGAGGTGGAGAACGGCATCTGGTGAGGTAGATCAACACCCATAGATCAACACCCAGTTCACCTTCGATCAACCATTCAGGATTAAGTTACAGGCACCATACCCTGCACCAGAAACGGATCACACATAACACAGCCACTCACACCACATCATACCTGACGCGGCAACACACTACACGAAACACAACAATCACAACGCACCAGACACAACAATCACACCACAGCAGAACGCAACAAACACACTACACCAGACACATCACCACACCAGACACAACAAGCACACTACACCAGACACATCAATCACACCACAGCAGAACGCAACAAACACACTACACCAGACACATCACCACACCAGACACAACAAGCACACTACACCAGACACATCAACCACACCACAGCAGAACGCAACAAACACACTACACCAGACACATCACCACAGCAGAACGCAACAAACACACTACACCAGACACATCACCACACCAGACACAACAAGCACACTACACCAGACACATCACCACACCAGACACATCAATCACACTACACCAGACACATCAATCACACCACACCCGCCAGACCGTTACACCCACCTGGAAGCGATCGACTTCGGCCCCCTTAGAGTAGTTCCCCCGCTCGAACGCGGTCGCCACGTGCTCGGCCGTGTCGTTCTTGCAGCTCCGGTGCACGGCGGCGATGCCCTTGCACTGGCCCTGCACTTCTCCGAACAGCCCGTGGCAGAGGCTCGGCCCCAGCATCAGGTACGACAGGGTGTCCATCTGGGGGGAACATTCCAACATTTCGGCGGGTGTGCTCATGTAAACGCATTGCGCAGTCGTTAGACCATTGGCCTCGCATCCCTACAATGCCGGCACGAAGCGACTTGTCGGCCTTTCGCCCGCGCAGAAATGGGGGAAGGGGAGGTAACGGTTCGTGTAGCAGGCCGCATGAATAAGGTCGTCCGGGGAGAGATTCGAACAAACGGATGGGGGGTCACATTAAATATTGGTATAATAGCAGTATTGGCCCGCGTACCACAGGCCGGGTGCCCTGTAAAAGGCGGACGAAATCCCGCGACAAGTGAAATACTCGAGTCGATTCCTAGCGGCGTGCCAGGCTCTCGGAAACAAAACGATAATCGACCTCAGCACGGGAGGGCGAGAAAAAAAATCGCAGCCAGATTGTGGCGTGTAGATCGAGAGTGAATCTTCTCCCCGCGTCGGCGAACAGCAAATCGCACACGAGAGAATCTTACTACCCATAAAAAAAAACTCAGCACGGTGTGCCGCGGCCTGCATACATACCTGTATCTGCTTCACGTCCAGCTCTCCGAAAATGGTCAGAGCCCGCGCGAACGACCCAAGCTGTCGGTAAACGTCTATCGCCAAGATCTGTACAAACAAACAGTATATGAAAAGAAAACAAAAAATAAATAAAAGCTTCAGAAAGAAGAATACATCGAATCGGCAAAGCACTTATAGAGTAACCTCTTGCTGCTTCGACGGGTGCACCCGCCTCCACCAGCATCTTGGTCACCGTCAGGTGTCCTGCCATGGCAGACTGGTGCAAAGCAATGGCGCCATGATCACCCGTTATCAAGAAGACTACCGCGCTCCCAATTTATTTGTATCCCTCTTTTACATGCGGCGTGAAAATTGCCGTTGCTTGGCCGTGGCCTCGATAGACTGCGCCGTTCCGTTGAGCGCCGTGGTCACCGTTGGTATCGGGGAGGTATCTGTGGCTACTGCCTCAAAAGCTGGCCAGTGAAACACTGTTAACAGCAGCGTGGCTAACCTTGAGGTGGTGGTTGTAGGGCGAACAGGACATGGCGAATAGGACATGGCGGCCTCAAAAGCTGACAGTAACACTAGTTCTGCAAACCTTGAGGTGGTGGTTGTAGGGCGAACAGGACATGGCGGCCTCCAGCAAGCACACCGCCTCCACTCTCCCCAGGTAACCCTTGCTCTTCGCCTGATCGGGCCTGCCGCCGTCTGCGTCGCCCCCTGTAGAAACCAGAACAAAAATGAAATATGGTAATGGTAATGAAAACCGTCGTATTCACACGTTGCATCACTAAATCGTACTACTGTATTGCTATCACGATAATCTTGGAGGATGCCATAAGCATCATCACCACCGCACAAGAAAAACAGTAGATAGTCACAAATGCGGGTAAATACCCTGCATCAGCACAACATTAAACAAATAATCATGGGCTCGGATAGGGCGCACCATTGTCAGCCCAAAAGGTCAATGATGTGGACGCGCTTAGATTTGGAATGTCTTGTGTTGGTTGGAGATAGGATGAGACTTTGAAGACGAGGAAATGCGGCTTGTCTCGAAAAACGCAGCTGCCAACACCAACAGCAGTGGCGCCTGCTCCTTGTTACTGCCTGCCAGTTCCTCTTGCCCCCGACCGCGATATAACAAAAAAAAACACAAGAACGCCGGTAACAATCAGCTTCTGCGGCAAGGAATTTCTAATGAAATGCAAAGCAACCTCCTCTGCTTACATCAAGAATTCAGAGCATGATTACTACAAATCGCAGAAGAAGAAGAAGCTCCACACGTCACCAGCACTCAAAAACACCACGCCCCACGTGTGTCGAAAACATAGTGCACAACGAGGCCCAGTCAGTCGGGACGAAAAAACTCGCCTGGCGCTGATGCTCCCCCGCCGACATTGTCGTAGAGCTCGCACAGTCGAAGCAATGTCTGTGCGGCAAGAATGACAAGCTCGTCGCCGTGCTGCACCTCCCGCTGGCCTCCCTCGCTGCCGAGGTTGAGGTGCAGGGTGGCCCTAAGGACAACGGCGGGCAGAGGCAAGAACAGGCGCGTGAGGAAAGACACTTCACAAGCGGGAGACCGCCCGGGACCCGTGCCGGTTGGTGAGTTTGCCACACAGTGCACGACTCCACCCCCGAAGCATTCCGATGAATAGAACTGTTGCGCGACAGAGATCAATTCATCATACTTCGTGTGAAGTTAGTAAAACTAAATAATAAACCAAAGCCACAGCGTGGACAAGTGGACGGGTGCGTCTCCCCCTTCACCTGTACTGGGAGGTGAGTTCCCCCACAACACCCCGGTACCGAGCCTCGGCGCCACCGCTGCCATCGTCGCCGTCCCCGGGCCCCGCGGAGGCGGCGGCGGCGGCGACGCCAACGCCGCTGGAACTCCCGTTGTCTATGGGAATTGTCTTGGAGGGGGTGTGGTCTCCGAGGAGGTGCCGGGACTGACACGCGCAGATGTAGCGGTGCAACCTGTCGTCGGTGTTGTCGATCGATGATGGTTGGAAAGGGCACACGCAGAGTCAATGACCGCATTACACACAAGGGGGGGGGCGTTGTGTAGTAGGTTCTCCTCAGATACCAAACAAAGCAGCGCTCTGGGAACGGGGAGGAGACGGCAACAAAAAATCAAACATGCACAGGGTCATGGACACGTTCAACATTGGGAGCACCAGCTGGGGACGTCTCTCTCTCTCTCTCTCTCTCTCTCTCTCTCTCTCTCTCTCTCTCTCTCTCTCTCTCTCTCTCTCTCTCTCCCTCTCTCCCTCTCTCTCTCTGTCTCTCTCACACACACACACACAAACACAAGAACAGAGTCCTTACAGCACATTTAGCCCAATTCAACGCTCCGCAACAGCAGCTCTTCAAAGAAACCAAGGAACACCCTTCTTAGGCTTAAGAGCAAGGCGGTTCTCGACGGTAATACGTCCTATCCTACATAAACGACACGAATCTTTAAGGAGGTGTCGGGCCTAGACGGGCCCTCCTCAGTCCCGCATGCCAAAATCCAGATGCCACACGGCAACCGCACACCTCTTGACGCCGATCTCTCGTTGCGCTTGGTCAAGCGGGGCTTGTTCCCGCTCGGCGTCGCCGGCGGTTGCGCCTGCTTCCGCTCTCGATTCCGCCGCCTCTCTCCGAAAGAAGTCTCTCAGCCACACTAGGCCCTCCTCTATCCCACCCGACGACTCGCCCTCGCCAATGCCTGCGAAAAAGAAAAAAGAAAGTAAAGAAGAAAAAAAGATAGACGGGACGGGGGACAGCAGATGTAGAACACCGGCGGATACGGGTACGATGGTATACAGGCGTTATCGACAGCTGGTATTGCAAGCAAGGGCCTCCCTCTTGAGATACGAGTGAAACTTTGGGACTGTCGTTTGGTGCCTGGGAACTCATTTCTATTACGTACAACAACATCCAAGCCACGTTAACGGCCCAGCCGACCACAAACCACTACACAGGACGAGTTTCTGGCTGGGGTGTTCCAACGCCGAAACCGAGGCCTCCACCCCATCGTCATAGCGCAAAAAACAAGGGACATCCTCCAAATGGAGGAGGAGGAGGCGGAGGAGGAAGAAGACGCGGGTGAACACTTTCTGCACTTGCTGAATTATTCTTCGGTATCCGTCCAGCAACTGTTATTTTTCCCGGCCTCTCGGGTCCGCTCTTGGGTCCTGACGGCGCAGCACATCATGGTGCGTTGTGTGAACACCCTTTTTAGGTCTCCTGTTCTAGTCCCAAAAATCCTTCACCTACAGCTTGCGCGTTTCTACCCTTTCACGTCTTCAGTTGGTGACAGCGCAGCACATCTTGTGTGCATGTACCCGTCACATGCCTTCAGTTCGAGTCCTAAAAAAAGCCTTGACCTACAGCACATCTCGGGTGCACACCCTTTTCGTGTCTTCGGTTCGAGCCCCGAAAGCCTTGACCTCCTACACAGTAGTCACCTATCGCGAAGAGGGTGAGGTGGGGCCGCAAGTCCTGGAAGCAGCAAAGCTTGGCCGAGAAGACGGCCATGTATCTCGAGATACACCGACAGAGTAGCCCCCACAGCACTAGCGGCGGTGGCGTCTGCTGCATCTCGTCCCCTGACGATGTTGGCGGTGGTGGGGGTGGAGGTTCCGACGCTGGCGCGGTGCCGCCCACCTCCTGACGAGGGATACCGGTAGAATTTTTCACAAAAAAGTGCGTCAGTCACGAAACAAATACTACCGTACAAAAAGTGATGTACTCCGGAGTACATTGTAAGCAAACAATATGGCGTTAGGGCTTTGGGTTAAAGAATAAAGCTGATGTGCACTGCTGCACAAAAACGATGCGTTAAATAGCGCTTTAGAGAAAGAATAAAGCTGATGTATACATCGCGCTTTTGGGGGTGGAATATTCCAGTAAATCGAAGTTCATAGACCGCCGGCTACATCCACCGCCCTTAATGAAACCCGTTGGCCAACGCGTGAGGGCCAAGAGCGCCATCTTTTTTAGGTATGAGCGAAACATTTTGAAAATATCGTGTGTGGCGATCAGCAAATAGAATTCACTCACCTGGGCAGCCGGGGGGGTGTACCCGGAGCCGAACCAGGCAATTGCTCTCCTGAACACCTCCATCTCCGCTAGGAAGGGACCTCTCCACCTTGAGCAAGACACAGAGACGTGGAAACGACGTTGAAAACACTCGACAATAATTGTCATGAACAATGTTGGAAACACTCGATCATGTTTTTTTATGATGAACCACCTTGGGAGACATTCATCAACATTTAACCCTCCTAGTACTGGAAGCCCAAATGGGGACACTTTGGGGACACAGCACTCAGATGCCGACTTCCCACCGTAGACACCCTAGGCTCCGTTGCGTGAAGTGCACGTGAGAACCCTTGCTCTATCATGCTTGGCTGAGGTGGTACGCTGTGTGATATACTGCGTGATTCCTCTCCTCGGCTTCTGGCTTGCTGTACACCATCTCCCAAGCCGCGTTTCCCCTAGGTCGCAAAACTGTACATCGCCTGGTACTGGAAAAAAATTGCTGACTTGGGTTAAGTATGAAAAGTGTCCCCACGTGCTTTGGGGACACTTTTCATACTGAACCCAAGCCACCCTTTGTCTGGCAAGGAGCTCAGATTCTTCGGAGGGACTGTAGCCCCTCGACCAATGGCTGACAAACATATTGGCGACGTTTGTTTTTTTTTGCGGGGACTGGGTACTAGGAGGTTTAATATTCTAATACGCCATGAACGACGTCGGAGAGAAACCAACCTTTGCCGTGATTGCACCAATACGCCCAAGAAAGGCGGCTATCAGACACCAGGCACACCGGTAGTTTTTTTTTTTTCTTCGGCTCCACCGCAGCCGCGACACTGCTGCTGCTGCCATGATCACTCCCAACTTGTGTATGGCTACCTGTGCTTTCTGGTGCACGCCCCACAACGTCCAGAGCAACCTTCGACCGCACACAACTGGTGTTGTTGGGGGGTGGTATCGAAACTCGTTTCTCACGGACCACCCCGACATCATCAATACACCGGTAAGTGCTAACCTAGCCCTCTCTAGCGCTTGGGTCTTGTCCACTGTCTCACTTGGGATACTCCTGCTGCAGGCTTCGGATGAGCTCAAGGGCTGCCGACAGCGACGCCGGCCACTCCGGCGTTGTTATTCCCCCCGCCTCCGCACCAGCGACCGCCTCGCTCAGACCTTCACGACGACGAAACCGAAAAAGCAACAAAGTCACAAAAATAAACGAAATAAACGAAAAAAAAAGAGTAAAAAAGAAAAGTGATGGATCACATCCCCTTGACTGTGGCTGTTATGTATTGCCCCCAACGGGTAGTTTTTCTGTCATCGTACATGTATATTTTCTTTAAACAAACTCATCAGAGGGCCCACCACCGGGGTCGCGACGCGGAACGCGCGACAGCACGTCGTTCACATGCCGTCTCCGCCTTGGTTTGTTGCGGCGACGGGTGTAACTCTCATGGGTCTTACGGCAACCAACCGCAACAACAACAACAGCAACAACAACCAACACCAAAAATACAAACAACGCGCCCACCACAACTACAATTATTTCATCATCAACAACAACATCATCAACAATAACATCAACAGCGGCAGCAGCAGCAGCAGCAGCAGCGGCAGCGGCGTGCAAACAACGAGCGGCGTGCAAACAACGAGAGAAACAAAACCAGCCGTACGTCCAGCAGATCAAGGAAGGACCGGCGCAATGCAACAGCAGCGCCCCGATCGGGATAGCAACCAACCCGAGACGGGTCCCGCCACCACAAACAAACCTCTCACCACACAATCAGCCCCGAAGCTATTTCCCACCCCGCCCGCAAAAAAAAAAAGCAAGCGCCTTCCCATCCACAACAGGAGAAACTAGCACCACCTGTTAAGCCACTTACCGTGTCGCTTGTCCATCAGGTCGAGGACGGTCACGTAGTAGCTCCACTGGTCGGGCGAACGCCTGATTAGCCCTTGCACCACCTCCTCCGCGCGCGCCAGGTCGTCGGCGCCCCCCAGCTTCTCGTAGAGCTCCGCTTTTAGCTCCAAGCGCTCCGCCTCCTGCCGGTGCAATAGAGAGCACACACCCGGGTGAAAGAGCGTCAAGAGATGTCCCACAGGAAGGGGGAGCATAAACGCTTGTCAGTTCTTCAACGAGGACTGCTGATATGTAAGCCGTTAGCTCCACTCATGAACCAAAGCTTCCCCTCTCATCTTGAAAACGCCAGCGGTTGTGTCATACCGTAGGTTGCAGAAGAGACCGCATCCACTTGACCGACTTTCAAAGCTCGGTTACCCTGCAGCCTCGACAGAGACAGCGCCCAATACAGCGGCGTATTAACCGTCTCGTCCAGAGCTCTCCTAAAACGTACCATCAATTGATCGGGGCATCCTCTTCGTTGTGGAGTAATTCGGCTTTGAAAAATCGGTCTCAAGGGTGTGTTGTCTTACGTGCAAACTACGGTGCCCAAGGCGACCTGCCGGTATCCCCTACCGCTGTAGATGGACGTTGACAATGCTATACCTGCATGTTGACAACGGTATCCCCTACCGCTATACCTGCATGTTGACGATGGGATCCTCTTCTGCAAGTACCTGCATATAGACAAAATCGTATCCCTACGCTGTACCTGCATGTTGACAATGGTCCCGTTCTCCAGGCTGGACTCGTCCTCTATCGTGCCTCGACTCTCGTCCGCGGCGGAGGCTGTGGAGCCGCCGGAAGCCTCCCCGCCCGTGGCGGGCTCAAACCGCTCCAGGGCTTCGAGGGCTTCCCTGCAGGGCCGCGAAGAAACACAAACGACGGCACCATCACCAGCAGCAGCAGCAGCAGCAGTATCAGCAGCAGCAACAGCAGCGACAGCAGCGACAGCAGCAGCAGTAACAGCAGTAGCAGTAACGGCAGCAGCAGTAACAGCAGTAGCAGCAGCAGAAGAAGAGGGAACCATCTCAATCTATGCGTGCGTGTGCATCTTAGATTTGTTGCCGTTTATAGCATGGACCGCGCTCAACGGCTGACCAACCAAAAGATGCCGGTCTAAGCGCGGCTCGAAAAGGGAACGCGCTTCTACGTACTGTGGTGCCGGTTTCGCAGCACTCTTCACGCTCCGGTGTGCGACTGCTATAGCAAGAAGATCACAAGGGGATGATGATACCCCGCGTCGACAACAACAGCAGTTGTGACTCGGCATCGAGACTATCGTTACCTGTGCTTCCCCTGGAGGTTGAGAATGTCGAGGCAAAGCCGCAGCTCCTCGCCCACAGGCCGCAACCCGTTCGCCGCCTGACGCAAAATATCGTGGAACGGAACTTAGATGCGGCGGAACTATACACCATGCAAAGTTCACGAAAAGAGTGGGGATTGAGGTCGGAGGGGCGTGTGACCAAACGAAGAGCAGAGTGCATAGGGGGATTTGCTGCGGTCAAGCCCCGACTTGAACACGCTACAACAGGTCAAGACCACGAAATGATTCATTGGTCAGCCGGTTGGCGCGGTCGATGCAAACAAAAAAACACAACAACACGCCCACACACACTAGCATAGCAGGACGAGACGGTGCGGCAACCTAACAATTAATATCGGCACTTCACAACCAGGATTCTGGCTGTCGTCCAACTCCTGCGCCCCCCCCTATCGGCAGAACCCTTTGAACTAGAAATTGTTTGTGCTTATTGTCCCGCTACGAGACCGGCGTCCTTTCACTGGTCAGTCGGTTGGTGCCGTCGATACTATACTTCCAAAGCAACACGCACGCACACACACAATCAAAAGACACAAGAGCCTTGCGATGATCCCCACCACCTCACATTCTCCTGCAAGACCTTGACGGTCATCTTCTCGGCTAGGGGAAGGGTCATCACCCCGGCGGAGCTGTCCTTGCGCTCTGCCTGGATCAGCATCGTCGCCGCCGCCCAGATGATGAACTTGCCTAAAACGCGCGCGGAAAAGTTTACATCGACAAGCAGAAACTATCATCCATTGGTTGGAATTTGCGGTGCAGATCGAAGAACATGCAAGACAAGATAAAAAAAATGGTACGTAGAATTCCATGGTTGGAATTTGCGCGGCAAGTATATGACAGCTATCCATTCGTTGAAAATTGCGGTGCAGACAAACAAAAATCCAAGAAAAGGCACAAAAAAAAATACACGACGCAATACAAACCGCCCTCTTTGGAAGTATTTTTTTTTTTTTTTTGTTCTTCACTTCAAATCAGCGCTCACAGCACTAGTGCCGTCTATTCCAACCCGTGGTCGCACAGAAGTATGGGCACCATTGGGATGTTCACATTTATATCCAAATGGTTCCTATTTTTCCAGACATGGTGGCAATATGCTCGAAAGAAGACGGATGGAGGCGGACACAAATAAGAAGCAAAGAAAAAGAGCACTGCTGTAAGATCTTGAGCGCAAGAGAACAAAATAGCTATTATAATACACAGTATTACACCAGGAAATCCGAAGACAGGGTGCAACGAGCGAACAATTCACAACAACGACCACGACGATTGCGGCACCGGCAACAGTGCAGTACATGTAGCGACCAAAAGTGTAAAATGTACGTCATCACGTGGAGCAAAGGGGGCGCATGTCCCCACCGGGTCGACACAACCGCATATGTCACATTCGTTGAGCAACCAAAATTTCGTCTACAAATACGTCGCAGAAACATGTCAAGAAAGCACAGCAGGAATGTGGATGAAGTTCGCGAAATCACTCGCTCTGCGCGCTCCCGTGAGCCGTGAGTGTTCTACAATGATGGTCGCAGAAAAATTAAAACACGCAGGAGCATCACCGCTTTGTGTTGCTGTTTCGGGGTTCTTATTCGTTTTTCTCGTTGATGTTATCTTGTTTGTGTCCTTTCGGTAGATACAGCAGTAGCAGCCTGTACCCACGAAAGGCGTCCGCGTTAGTTGGATCGGTACTGATGTTGGATGGTACTGAGTAGAGACCGCAACCGTTCTTAACGTTTTAAGACAACCACAACAACAAGAGTGTTGAACAACAACAACACTACCATCACCACAGCCACGAACAACACAAAAAAAAACAATAACAACAACAACAACAACAACAACAACAACAACAACAGCAGCAGCAGTGTAGAACAACACGAACAGCACCACCATCACCGCCGCCACCACCACCACCACCACCAACAAAAACATTAACAGCAACAATAACAACAACACCAACAACAACAACAACAGTGTTGAACAACACAGACGAACAACACCAACAACAGTATACTAGCGGTAGCCTCCTCCTCCGCTGTGCTCACCTCCCTGAGGGTCCACCTTGTGGAGCTTGGTTGCAGTCTGCTGTGCTTTCAGGTAGTGTTTCGCCTGACAACAGTTACAACAACAACCGACACACGAACGAATATGAGCAGGAAATGGGGGAAAGCTCATCTGCTGCTTGCCTCAAGTCAAGCCGGGGGGGTTTTCGAGAGAGAGGGAGACGATACGTGCGTATGAATGTGTCTGCCGGTCTCTCTCAACCTGACCCGTGCCCTATACGACACGAAGAGAAACGTGTAGGTGCATTACATGCTAAGTATGCCATACGCGAAGAAAAGCCTGTCGAAGCGTGTTTCTACTCTGAAGACCCCAGCGCGGAAGAAAAATACATACAAAAGCCTTAAGCACGCGTTTCTCACCCTAACGTAGCACATGAAGAGCTCCTTAATCAGGGAGGGGTCCCGCGGTTTCGCGGCGACGGCAACCTCGAACATAGGGGCCACCTGCTCCCTGCGGCTCATCATCCGGTAGTTGTACGTCATCGCCGCCAGCGTGTCTTCGTCTGTAGGGCTCGCTCCCTGCGTTTTCGTTTTCGTCAGGGAGTGAAAAATAATCACAATCGTGGGTGGCCGATGCACTTCTCAGGCAAGGCATGCACGAGGACGCCGATGCGCTACTATGCAGCACACGAGCAGGACACGCAGAGAGTAAACCGATGCCATGCCACGCCTGAGCAAGACACGCACAATCCAATACGAGATGTCGTGCCACCAATGAGCAAGACTCGCACAAAGCAACACGAGATGCCATGCCACACATGAGCAAGACACACGCACAGACAACCTCGATGCCATGCCACACACATGGGTAGGAGACGGCACAAAAAGACCCGATGACGTGCCACGCCTGAGAGGCGACAAGCACAGAAAAAAAAACGGTGCCACGCACGCCGCCTGAAAGAACGGAGAGGACGCATGCTGATGAATAGACCGTGCACCTGCGTTCTTTGACCAGAGAGCGTGCTCGCTGCTCTCGTCCCGTTAGAAGACTGACAACTAAAACTGTTGTCGGTGAGGCGGTTAGGTCGTTCCATGGCAATGAAACTAACTCACACACTCAAACCTTCACGGGGTCCCAGATCAGGCCGTTGGAAGAAATCTGCTTTCAGCCGCACGGAGACTGACGTCTTTCGTTGACCAGCCGGTCAGTGCTACAGCAGTAGTCGTAGGCCCTTTATAAGGCGGGTATGCGCCAGACCGATTCACCGACCCTATACAGGGCACCCGCCCTATTCAATGCATTAACCGTCTTGAATATTCCATCTGTGCCAGCCAATTTCACCCACCCTATTGCGGGCACACGACTTATATAACCCGCCTCATAGAGGGCCTACGACTGCAACAATAAAAAACGCACGCAAACACACCTGGACATCGAGACAGAGCTCAAGCGCCTCGTCGTACTTCCCCAGCCTCCACAGCCCGTTCGCCTTCAAGGCCTTGGTTGTCAGCCATCTCTCCACGTCCCTCTTCTCGCAGAGCCGGACCTGCAACAGACGTTTGTTATTATTCCAGATAAAAACGGCACAATAAATACGTTCAGCACCTCCGTTTTTTTGTGTCCAATCACGTTAAAGAAGCGCTCACGGCATTCCTGCTCCAGCACGGGCTCCAATTCGTGGTCACACATACCTGGTAACTCCACAACAACAACATGATTGCGGCACGGCTCGTTTTATAAACCACGGGGATACGTCCACGACCGTGATTACGTTATGGCGTCTTCCCCCGGAGTATTTGTCCGGGACTTTCCGCACCCACGCGTCTTGGTGGCAGCCCCAGCCTTTCCCACCAACAACGACGGTTTATCTCCTCTTGATTTTAGAAGGGTGTGCCCTCTTGGGGGAAAGATGGCCTGCCTTCCGAACCGGTCGACCTAGCAGACAATAATAAGCATATTAACACCACTTGCGCCGACACACGCGAGGCTGTGGGCATGCAACAAAATGCTTTCGACCAAAGCATTGTGGCCTCCCCACATCTGGGTAAGGAGCTGACTCAGCCGTTGACGACCTGATCTACAAAAAAGGTGCATTCGTTTGCTTTCCCCCCCACCCCCTTGCAGCCCGTCGTTCTGCGTACTCGGTGTTTTTGACCAAAGCAATGGCCTCCGCACAATCTGTACTGGCAGCTGGAACAACCCTTTACCACCTCCAGTGCAAAAAGTCACTCGTTCGTTCTCTTTCCCAGCCTGTATACTTTTGACCAAAGCGTTGGCCTTCACAAATCCGGGCCACTAGCTGATTCAGTTCTTCACTGTTCATTCGAGGGCGGGACCTGGACCACGTCCGGCGGGAGGGGGGGGGGGGGGGGGCAGGGCACGCCACTCACCGCCTGACGCCAATTTCCGCTGGAAGGGGAGGCCAGGTTGCCATTTTCCACACACATCCGATCCGGCGGTTGATTCAATTTCACGTTTCCCATGCGCGGGGGCAGGAGACAAGACACACAATCGGAAAACACAGGGACCGGTGACAAGGAGGAGGGGTTGGCGCGGGGGGGGTGGGGGGGGGGCGTACTCGTGCATGCCCTAGCTGTTGGACCACTCACCACGTGTCCTCCAGAGGACGGAGCATGGCGGGGGGTTGCTGTCGCCATGTGCATGCAGACAGGAGATCATTGGTTTGAGGCACAACCGACGGCATCAACGGTGCGGGGGGAAACAGCGAAACACTCCAAAGCACAACCAAATTGCGGGATGCGGGAGAGTCATCATCAATCCTCTTCTCCCCAGCAGGGGCTGTAAAAACAACAATGGGATTATTACCGCAGTGCCGAGTTTGTGTCTATTGCGCACTACCGCGCAAAGAGAGCTCGCGGATTCAAAACATGGATGCACTGCCCAAAACTGGATTAAGGACAAATGGAGAGAGGGGGGGGTCTGATGTATGCCGTGTATCATACATAGGATCTTGTGTTGTTTGTAAAACCGAAATATGATGCAATTTTGTATAGGGTTTATTAATGGCACACATAATCCTATAGACGTTTTCTTATGTGGCGTTAACAATGCGATACTAAAGCCAACAATATGGAATATATACACTTTTTTAAACCCATATTAAATGCGGAAAGTACACAAATAAGCCCCTTGCCCAAACTGGATAAAGCCCCTTAAAAAATGAGGCGGGGGTAGGATACCAGGGCTTCCATTTTTTGATTCCCCGACCCTTTTTGTACCGCTTGGGGGGGGGTGAGGTAGTTGTGTGTACTGGGGGGCGCTGCAGCGAGGGATGGCTGTGACTGGTGCCCGCCCTTTTTCGCCGAGGGGGGGGGGGGGGGGCTTTTCTATTCCGCGTTGCTCATATGCCTCCCGCTCTCCGCCAACCAGCCTGAAAGAAAAAACGACCGGTCACAACAACACAACAAACGAGCACCGTGCCTCTCCCTTCACGCCAAGTTTCAAGCTGACCACCACATTCTACTCGTCCCTTTCCTTCCTCCACAATTCGAAACAGCAGTGCACTGCTGCTGTAGTGGTCTGCAACGTTTGCGAGATACGTCGAGATTTCAAAATAGTGTTCCGAGTGTTTTCGGCAAATGACACTGGCAGCCGTCGCTGAAAACTAACATTTCTCCCCCTACGGCTATGCTTGCTGTACTAAATAGAATGGTGCATCATGCCCAGTGTCAGTCGGATGTCATGTTTGGCGGCGTCTTGAGGTTCTTCGACGGCAGCTGCTTCCGCGTGAAGTTGCACTTCCTCCTTCCTCCCGCTCTGTCGACACCAATTGCACCGCAGCTATATGCATAGCTACCAAATCGGATAGACATGTTCACGCTATCGAGCCCACAGGGGGGTGGTTTCTCTAAAATAGAGAGAATTTGCGCTCTGCGGCGATACTTTGCACGGGCACTAGATCATTGTTGTGGCTACGCTTCGAAGAACACCTGCTGCAGCCAATCCACCGTGCTGGGTGGCTGTCTTCGGTCCCCTGGATGTAGACTCGCAGTACACTCAACACAAAAGCGGTCTGGTGTTCTTCAACAATCAATCCTACGGTGTGGCGAGATGATTCATACCGCTCCAATGCAGATACAACAGCCACCACCAAAGACAAAACATTGCGGCGGCCATGCTTACAGGAAACGCCGACGAAATCCAAATAGCTTTGCAACCACAAAGGAAGCAGCTGCGCGTCGCAAGTAAAGGCTAACGGAATGGGCCTCAAATCCACCGCAAACGCCACACCGCACAATCCACAGCTGTCGGTACATATTTTCTCGCGCTCTCATGTATCCTCACCTCTCGAGAGCATTGTAGATTGGCTGCAGCTTGCGGCTGCGTATCTCCTCCG